TACATCACTTTATAAATCCCATGAGCAACGAATCCATTAAACAAGCCATTACATAGGTGTACGGCATTGAGCCACTACTAAGCCTAATACCAAATATGCCCCACGAACTACCTCAGAGGTGGTAGCTAGCCACATGGGTAGAGCATTACTTACGATCTACCTCAGAGGTGACTGTTATAAGTCGCATGTGTAGATCAATTATATGACTAAGTGCATCCCTTACTCGCCAGTCAAGGATGTGTTACTTCCACCAAATAGCGCTATCCACAAAGATCATAGGCTCAAAATGAGTTAATAGCGGTGTACAATTAGAGACTTTCAACTCAATACATCATACATGGCGTAAAAATTCAATTGCTCATAACATTCAATTCACATAATAATGTGAGTTTTATAATTCATAACTCTTATAAAGCATGCTTTTCACCCCGAAATACTTTAAACGAGTAAAGTGGGGCYGTGRATACTCACATTTTCTTTCACGGAGAAGATGGTTGTGATTGAATGGGTGTACCTTGGTAAAGTCCTTYTAGAGAATTCCTATAGAAGACGAACGGTTGTCAAAATCTTAAGGATTAAGGTTACTATTCTACCTTTACGTCTTAYATAATGCYTCCTTATGAATAAAAATCAAGTTTTAAGCACTTTATATGCTTAAAATAGGGTTTATGGTTTAAGAGTTCAATCTTAGAGATTTTAGGAAATTATGCATGCTGACAGAATCTTTGCAACTCAAATATGTCTATGGTTCACCCTTATCCAGGAACTATATTTTTCCAAAAAATTTATATGTTTTAATTTGATGTCTTAGGGAAAGTTTGACATAAATAACACCATTTTTAGAGGTGGTTTGATATTTTAATCATTATACTCAAGATAAAGTGTCACAGTTACAAAGGCAGCCTGCATACTCTTTTTGCCACAAYTGATTGGAAGGTCAAATCTCAATATTTTTCAGATATTCCAATTGGGTTTTAAAACTAACTCAAATATCTATCTTTCAAAAAAAGAATCATCATTGTTTATTACGTTTTCAGGAAGTTATAGTCATTTTAAGACACATGTCCAAATCTGTTAGATTCTGCTTGCATGCGTACTCAACTTAGTTTGAGAGGTTGAGACCTCAAATCTCCATATGTTTGAGTGAAACCACTTTTGTTTGAAATATAATACAATAAAATAAATTTCCAGAAGAAGATTCAAGTATTTTAGTGAAATATTAAGAGAGTTATGACCGATTAAAGTAGAGTTTTTACTCTAACAGGTCATCCCTTGCACTCTTAACTTAATACGAGTGGTTGAGGGGTCAAATCTCCGAGTTTTTACATGAAACCACTTGAGTCTCATAAATAACTCAAAGAAAAAGGCTCCAAAAGAAAAATCAAGTCATTTGACTAAGTATTTTTCAATATATGATCGAATGAAGTTCATGCAAGAAATCTGCCAGAAACCAGAAATCCTAAAATGATCATCAAAAGTTGTTATTGAGAAATCGTTTGAAATCCAAGCCTTGGGCTCGATTTTTAGCACTTARATATGAATTTGCTATCACATGCATGAAGTTTAGAATAGGTATTTGATGATTATGAAAGAATTTTATGCTTTATTTTTAAAACAAAGTGGTAGAAACTTCAATACACACTTGGATGCTAATACCAATCTCCAAAGGTTCTTTCCTTGATCTTAACTTGGGTTTGATCATGGAT